CCACATTGTAACAACCACACTCACAGAGATACACACACACACATTGTTAATGACTGAAGAGGGAGGTGAAAGTCTGGGATGTATTCTGCAAATGTTAAGGTCTGTGACATCTCTTTGTCTTGGAGAGGAATTTTCTTCTGAACTTTGGGTTTAGGGGTTAGCTGTGGTGCCAGACTCCCGGCTTCTGACTTAGGTGAGAGAGGCTCTGTGAGAAAGCGGAGGAGATGCAGTCGGCATGAGCAGTGGGTGAGAGTCCCGCGGATGACTTGCGCCCAGGATGCTTTCTCACGAGGTTAATATGGGGAAATGTGCGGGGCTGTGGAGACGGCTCGGTGGATAAGAAAGTGCTGCCACATAAGTGTGAGGACCAAGGTTCGGACCCCCAGAAGCCACGGAAAAGCTGAGTCGGAACCCACCTGTAACCCCAGCGCGTAGGAGGGGAACCAGAGAACCCCAGGAGCAAGTTGGCTAGCCAGACTAGCTAAAACTAGTCTCACTGGCTCAGTGAGAGAGCCAGCCTCAGTATCTAAGGTGGAGAGCAGTTGAGGAAGACGTGGCATTCACTTCAAGACTACACACACACACACACACACACACACACACACACACACACACACACACACGGCAATCCATCTGTGCATTGTACAGAATGCCTTACTCTGGTAAGTCACGAGGACTGTAACAGCTGTGTTCTTCCCTCCTCTTTCCTGGCTTCTCGTTTGCTCCATCATGGGCAGGGCGCCTGGTACAGGAACAGAGCAAACTGGCCCCATGTGGGTGAGGCAGCCAAATGGCCTTTCCTAATCCCCTAGACCTGAAGAGGACAGTGAGGGAACGTGCAGAGACACCCAGACATCTGGAGGGACACTCTGCAACCCTGTCTCAATCCTTCCAGCAGAGAAACCATCCACTGGAGGGGACCCTTCAGCACCATACAATACACATATACATACCACACACACCAATACACCCCTCCCTCACATTCCACACACACCATATACATGCACACCACACACATATACACCATATACACACTGACACACACACACACACACACACACACACACAAACACCACACCCCCCCACACACACACCATACACACACAGAGAACTTGAAATGCTTATTGACACCATTGAATGCAGCCTGAAAATGGCCCAATGAACTGGATTAATGCTTTAACAGCCACGTGGATCTCTTATTCTGTCCCTGCCAGGCTGTAGCAACACTGGAATGCACGCGGCTCTGTTGATCCTGTCTGCCCTAACCCAGTGCCCTCAGTACGACTCGGTGACCAGCTGCCTGTGACAGCAGGCCTCCCACTGGTGAAGACGGTTGCTTGGAGACGCATGGTCCCTATTCCATTGAGGACAACTCCCAGTTTCTGAGTTGGGAGAGAAGGTGGGTGAGCATCCCAGGGGCCCCATCATTCACCCTCCTCACTTCCTTCTCCTTTTCCTCCTTTCTGCCCCCTACTATTTCTCGTCATCTGTCAAAATTCCCCTTTTTTCCAGGGATCACAAGCTCTTCCACACCCCAGAATTCCCATCCAGGAACTTAATTATGTCATTTCATGATAAACTCGACACAAATGATGTTAACCTTGTCCCCAGACAACAAAAAAACCCAAAACATATCAAAACGGCCTTAACTGGGATATTTTGAAGAGCCTGATTAGGCATTTAAATGTTTTTCTCCCCCCAAGAGGCTTCGCCATTTGTCTCTTTCTCTCTAGGTCACAGAGACACCATGACTTCACTGTCAGGTACAACTTTCTTAAAAATGACCTCGATTCCCCTCAAAGTGTCAACCCTGGCAAGCCTGGGAAACTCAGTATGTAGACCAGGCTGGCCGGGAACTCGTCTCTGCCTCCTAAGTGCCTAGCTCATTATCATTGCTTTGCTTTGGGTAGGTTTCCTACAAATTACCACTTATGTGCATGACCCCTGAGCATGCCCAGTGACCACCTGCGCTTAGGCGGGTACTTGGAGAACTGTTGGGTAGCTGGCCTACTGCCCTTGAACGTCCAGGCTGAGGAAACTCTTGGGAATCACACAGCATTGTTTCAACCTTCTCTCTCTCTCTCTCTCTCTCTCTCTCTCTCTCTCTCTCTCTCTCTCTCTCTGTGTGGGGGGGGGTTGTGTGCATTCAGGCTGTGCAGGTAGGCATACCCTCATGGGTGTGAGGACACCAGAGGCTGATATTGGATGTCTTCCTCTATCAGTCCCTACCTTATTGTCTGAGACAGGGTCTCTCACAGACTAGAACTAGAACTAAGTTGACTGGCCAGCAATCTCCACTCCAGTACTTGGCTTTTTATGTGGATGTCAGGAATCCAAACTCAGGGCCTCACTCCTATGTGACAAGCACTTTACTGACTCAGTCTCTCAACTTTAAAAAAAAATTGTGTTTAAATTCACATATCTACAAAAAAATTCATATTTTTTTATTATTGATTATTGTCACTCTTTATGCCAACAGTGCTGATCACAGGGAGAGCTACCATGAATGCTCACAAGAGTTTGGGTGGTGTGACTGCGAACATTTTTAACCTGTCACTAGAGGGACATAATATACAGGTAAGGAGAGGAAAAGCAGGTCTGGGAGGAGGTGGGTTTGTCTGCGGAGGCGGCAGGAAGGAGCCTAGAGGGTGGGACGGAGGAAACCATGCCACCTCTCATCTGAAACTGTTGTTTAACCCCGTCTGCATGATCTACGTTTAGAAAAGACAGCCTTTGGGGAAGGAAGATGAAGCCCTCGGGGCCGCCTTGAAGCCGCTGGTGTTCCGAGTGGACGAAACCACACCCAGAGTTGTACAGAGTGTCCTTCTGGAACGTGGGTGGGACCAATTTGACGAGCAGCAACAGGATGTGGAGGACTGGAATCTGTACTGGAGGGCATCCTCCTTCCGGATGGTAGAGCACGTCAATGTCAAGCCCTGGCAGAGACTGAACCACCACCCGGGGACAACCACGCTCACCAGGAAGGACTGCCTGGCCAAGCACCTGGCCTACATGAGAAGGCTCTATGGTGAGTCCCTCTACGAGTTCACACCCCGGACGTTCATCATTCCCAATGACTACACCAAGTTCGTAGCTGAGTACTTCAAGGAGAAGCAGGTGCTGGGTACCAAGCCTTCCTACTGGATCTGCAAGCCAGCAGAGCTGTCTCGTGGGAGGGGGATAGTCATTTTCAGTGACATCCGAGACCTCAACTTCAATGGCACGTATGTCGTGCAGAAATACATCTGCAACCCTTTACTCGTGGGTAGATACAAGTGTGACCTCCGCATCTACGTCTGCGTCACCGGCTTCAAGCCGTTGACTATTTATGTGTACAAGGAAGGGTTAGTGCGGTTTGCCACTGAAAAGTTTGACCTCCAAAATTTGCAAGACTCTTATGCCCACCTGACCAACAGTAGCATCAACAAATCTGGGGCCTCGTACAAGAAGATCAAAGAGGTGGTGGGCCAAGGCTGCAAGTGGACCCTCAGCCGGTTCTTCTCTTACCTCCGGAATGGGGATGTGGATGACCTGCTGCTGTGGCAGAAGATCAAGCACATGGTGATTCTCACCGTCCTGGCCGTGGCTCCATCGGTCCCTGTGGCCTACAACTGCTTTGAGCTTTTTGGGTTCGACATCCTTATTGATGAAAACCTGAAACCATGGCTTCTAGAAGTCAACTACAGCCCTGCTTTGTCCCTGGACTGTTCCACAGATGTCTCTGTGAAGAGAAGTCTTGTCCATGATGTCATTGAACTGATTCACTTAAACGGCCTAAGGAGAGAGGACAAAAAGTGCAACAGGGCCTCTCCAGGGAGCCCCAGGAACAAACAGCTTGAGCTCTGCACAATCCCTGCTTCCCCTCCCTATGTGTCTCTCATACGGTTTACAAACAGGACGTGCAGTAAAACCAACCCCGTTGTGCAGAGAGTCGTCAACGTCTATCCCAAGCACACACGGACCTCCCAGCTGAGAGAAATGATCAACAAGCAGCGCGTGTTTCTAACAAGAGAAGGCGCTAAAAGCAAGCCAAAGCTGAGGGCTTGCCATACAACTCGCAAGGCGTTCTCTCCATATACACCAGTAGCTCAGTCACAGCCCCACAGGATGAAGGGGCCCGTGGGCATCCTTCCAGAAGCTGGCTATGCACCAGATGACCATGTAGGCAACTTTGTTCTCATTTTTCCATTCAATGAGGCTACTTTTGGAGCCTCCAGGAATGGATTAAATGTCAAAAGAATAATTCAAGAGCTCCAGAAACTAATGAATAAATAACTCTCAAGTGATAAAAACTAAAATCAAGAAGTGAGGTGAAACTTTTGAAAACTGAGGATTTCTTTTCTTTTCTTTCTTTCTTTGCTTCTTTCTTTTATTCCTCCCTTCTTCCCTCCCTCCCTTCCTTCCTTTTATTTGGAGACAGAGTTTCTTTGTGTAGCCCTGGATGTCCTGGAACTCACTCTATAGACCAGATTGTCCTATGAACTCTGACATCCACCTTCCTCTGCTTCCTGAGTCCTGGGATTAAAGTCATGTGCCACCACCACACAGCTGAAAACTAAGGATTTCTACCCCAGAGGAGATGATAGGCCAAGCCCTTATCCTGTGCTGCCAGAGGCCATGGGAATATACAGTCAATGGCAATTGATAGTTCAGGTGTCAACCCATCAGATGAATAACTCTCTGACGGAGGAACCCCATCAAGCAAGGCCTACAGGACCACAGACTCTGAAAACCAGTTGCTTCTGTCTGTAATTTTTCTCATGCATCACTACATTTCTTCCCTAAAAACAGCTATGGGTATTTCTCCCACTGCTTGTGTGTTTATCTCATGTATATATTCCATCTACTGGGCACACATATAGCTGTGGATGGTCAGATGATTTCTGCTTAAGCTGTATAATTCTGATGAATAGAAATAATACCAGGATATTTTTCATACTCAGACTGACATGGGAAAATAACTGTATTCTCAGCTACAAAGACATCTTTTCACACATTTAGCTAAGACCTTGGAGCAAATCCAAAATAGACTCAGTTGCCCTTGGAGATGAATTGTACAAGGACAAGTTCCCAGATGTCTGTCTGTTGAACCAAAGTCAGGCTGATAACATTAAGACATAGACTCCATGCAGCAATTGGCTTTCTGCACATACTCCTAACTACTCAAGGCTCAGTCAACTAACTGTTTATTGCTTAGGTCCTGGGTTTCAATGTCACTCTCTGTGATGCCTCTCAGGCTACGCGCATGGCCACGTGTCACTCACTGGCCAGTCAGTGTGACATCCCTAGCCTGAGAGGAACTGTGTGATGAGAATGACTTGTTTACTCAAGAAATGCCGTGTGACCCTGAAAATGTGGTTCATATCTGTCCAGAGTCTTTGCTGTAGAGGAAGAAGTATGAAGAAAGAGATGTAACTATATGAGAGAGAGAGAGAGAGAGAGAGAGAGAGAGAGAGAGAAGAGAGAGAGGTGAAGGAAGAGATTGTGGCTGTGTGGTGAGAGAGCTGTGTAGATGAGGTGTATAGCTGTGGCTGTGTGGAGAGAGATGTACCTGTGTGGAGATTTGTAACTGTGTGGAGACAAGGAAGATGAAGCTGTGTAGAAGAGAGATGTAACTGTGTGTAGAGATGTTCAGGAGAGAGAAGTATGTATGTAAAGAGAGATATGTATATGTATGCTAAGAATGTAGCTGTGTGCAGACAGAGATTTTCAGAAAGATTTTTTTAAGATGAAGTAAAAGAGAAAGTTACCATCAGAAAGTGTGTGTTTCCTTATTTACCCCTCAGAAAAGTCTAGCCTTACTGCATTTGTGGCTTTTTTTTTTTTTTTTTTGCATGCCCTGGAGGTGGTCTTGGAGCAGGCTCTCCCAAAGGCACCAATATCGTTCATGCCTTTAGCACACAGCATTGCTACTGGGTAGAGATGTGTGAACAGAAGCATACAGGCTCTGCCAGGATGGCCCCATCAAACACTGATCACATCACTCTGTCCCGTGTTAGGTTTCTCAGGTCTCTTGGCTGAATATCAGTGGCCACCTCTTAATTCAGAGACATGCTACCCAATATAATCAAACTGCCTATTCTTGGTAATAGGAGGAAAACGTGAGAAATATTGTAATATTTAAAGGGATTTCTTAGGTAAAGTAGTATAAAAATGCCAGGAATCATGTTTTATTTTTAATCAGCCATTGTTTATCAAAATTATTTTTGGGGGGCTGGAAAGATGGCTTACTGAGAACCCACATCTAATCCCCAGCACCCACTCAAGAAGCCAGATATGGTGGCACATGCTTGCAGTTCCGGCGCTGGGAGGCTCATGCCGGCAGACACGGCGGCTCCCTGGCCAGTCAGCCGAGCAGTCGGTGAGCTCCAGGTCTTAGTTCAAGAGAGCCTGTCTCAAAAAACAGGGTTTAAGGTGGTCAGTTCCTGAGGAATAACACTTGAGGTTGATCTCTGACCTCTATACACGTTTGAGTATACACACACACACACACACACACACACACACACGTCATCAGCATAAAGTCATTTAGAGTGCAGTGAATTACAGAAAACCCAATTATTTATAGATCCTGAATCCTAAATCAGACATTGTGCAAATTGCTACCGAGAGGGATGTTTCCTTGATTCTGTCAATTTGCCACAACGTTAATCATCACATAGACAGTGAGTTCCCAGGGCCGAGGGGCAGTGGGGTGGTGGTGTTCCTTTTGAGTGATGAAAACACTCCAGCACAAGACAGCTGTGATAACCACATGGCCTTGTGAAAGTGCCCAGAGTTATACGTGTATTACAGTAATGAGCCAAGGGTAATGCTTATGTTGTGTGTATTAGGGTAATAGAATAAATAGGTCCCTGCTTATAACCCCTCCCCAACAAAAATTCTTTAGACATCTGTGGACAAAAGTACTTTTGAGGGACCCTGGCATTCACATGGGAGCTTGTGAGAGACATTGCTAGACCCAAGACTCAGGAGGACTGTTGTGATAGGGAAGACCCCATGCTCAGAGGACAGACCTATTGACTGGAGCTCACACTCCAGGCTCCCCAAAAGCCCCATTTCACAAAGTCTGTAGCTCTGTCTGGCCATGAGACTGGGGCCATCATCACTGCCGGGAGTCTACAAGGATCGTGTCCACTGGTGCCTCTACAGACTGACCAGCTCACAGGAGGATCCGGAGAAGACCCACCCAACCAACCGGACTTCAAAACTCTGCCTCACAGCAGGTGATGGAGGGGCCCTGGTTTGGCTCTAGGCTGCATTGGATGCAGCCTGTCTTGGGAACAATTTTGACAGCACAGACAACTGACGAGAGATGCATCTATGTGCTTCTGGGACAGGTCTGCAGGCTCCCCCCGCCCCCCAGACTCTGCAGGAACCCTGCAGCTCCACTCCAGCCCCTCCATGCTGTCCCAGGGACAGCCCTACACAAAGAACTGTACAGAGTCTCATCACCCAGGGGCCCCAGGTTGGGTTTGCTGATCTGGACCTTAGAGCCTAGTTCTAATTCCTGCTGGCTACCCAGGGGTCTGCCAGGAGACACACCACCTTGAGTCCCTGGACAGGCTTATCAATCTCTGTCCCAAAGCTCTGTTAACGGCCCAAGATTCCAGTCCCAGCTTTCCTTTTAAGCCAAAGAGCAGCTGTGCCTGAAGACTGGAAGGCACTTAGCCTCCTCTTTGTGACTTCTCACTTTATTATCCTGGGAGTCTTAGAATGTTTCTATAAATTGGCTTCAGTCCTTCTCAACTAGCTGAAAGCAGGCATGTCAGCTCAGGAACCACTTGAACATATGCCTGTCCGTCACTCTGAAGCATCATCTCAGTGTCATAGAATGGTCCTCATTTTAGTGACAGCCCCATAGACCATGGTCCCAGAGACAGTTCAGTCTATCCTGTGGCCAAACAGAACTCAGAGTCCCCAGAGATCTTCATAACAGGTCTGCGAACAGCAGTCTTTACTATAGACTCAACAGCAGCCATGTGACCCAGACCTAACCAAATGCACACAGACCTGCACCCGGAAACAATTCCATCTACCCAGACTTAACCTGAGTCCAAATGGCTAAAACCAGCATGTGAGAGCTGAAAGGAGAAGTTAGCTCCTTCAAACTCAATAGTCTAACAAGCTATAACAAGAAACCATAGTCATCTGATGGGATTAAGAAAGCAGTATGTAGCTGGGCGGTGGTGGCACATGCCTTTAATCCTGGCACTCAGGAGACAGAGGCAGGCAGATCTTTGTGAGTTCGAGGCCAGCCTGGTCTACAGAGCGAGATCCAGGAAGGGTGCAAAGCCACACAGAGAAACCCTGTCTCGAAAAACCAAAAAAAGAAAAAAAGAAAGAAAAAAGAAAGCAGTATATAAATTAGAAGCTAAATATTAATAATATAAACCATTGCAAAGAACCAGACAGAAGTCCTGAAGCCAAGGAATGCATCTACAGGAAAATTGAGTAGTGCATGATTATGCAGGAGAAAGATCAGTAAGTCCTAAGACAGGGCCATTGGAATTATCCAGTTAGAGAAATAAGACTGAGAAGCAGTGGGCGAAGCAGGGGCTCCATGTGACATCATCAAACAGGAATGTTCAGCTCACAGTAGCACCAAAAAGAGAAGCCATGCCTGTGTGGGAATTCGTCAACCTTGGGGGTGGGGCACCCCATGCTTGATTGACATGTCACAGAAGCAGTGCAAGGAAGGGAGGATCTACTGTGGCTCACGATATCAATAATGGGAGAACCGAGATACAAGGTAATCAAATGGTCAAAGTAAAAAGACAGAGCCTTAAAGGCAGCAAGAAAGGACGCATTGCAGGTAGGGGGCTCCCAGCAGGATTCTCAGAAGACTGGGAGGAGACAAGTTCAAAGAGCTAACAGCTCAATGCAGCAAGGATTCTGTCCTCAGCAAAGCCGTCCTTCAGAAGGGGAAATGAACATTGCAGGCAAGGGAAAGCTGAGGGGTTTGACGGAGACAGCAGGGGGCGCACTTCCAGCTGGAAGAACACGAAACACTAACACAGTCGATGAAGGCAAACATCGGCTCAAATTCAGAACACTCCAGTGCTGAAAAGCTGGCATGGCAACCACTCAGTTCTTATACATGAATTTAGGAACTGAGGGATTAAAATAGCCAAAGCCATGCCATAATCATCTTTTCTTTTCTCTCCCCCCCTCCTTTTACCCAGTAGGGGAACCTTTTTACTTTCTGTGGCTCCATGCCCTGCTCTACCCTGATCCCATTCTGGGCTCAAGCTCTTTTGCAGTCCCAGCTGTCTCCAGGTTTCGGGCTTGAATAGAG